CACCTTCAGAGGTGACGCCGAGTTTGTAGTTGCACACATACCGCAAGCACGGCATGCCTGTGCTGCACAGTCAGCGTTAAGAAACCGGTCTGGCCGTCGAGCTTGCGGTCCGGAGCTGTGCTTTACAGCAATCCGTGTGGGAAAAGCCGCTCTCAGGTCTGCGCCTTAATACACGTGTGCTTGAGGAATTGGCCCGCAGCAAATAGCTGCCTCATCGGACACGATAGAACGAGTGGAGAAACTATATCTAGAAAAGGCAAATGATGTCCCAACAAACTGCAGAAGAACTGACATGTTGCGAAGTCAGCGCCTCGCCCTCAGCAGCAATTTTACGGTCTAAACGTTACCATAATTGGTGCGCCCTTATCGTGTTTTCGCTTGCATTGGTGACCATGCTAGTATCACAATCTGCAGGATTATTTCCTTGCATGGGGAAAGATCTCGCAGACAGAAAGATGCGAAGTGGACCGGAGAAGCATGCCAGCGAAGAATCACTTTACGTGGCACTATCTTTCAAAACACCGATCTTCTAAACACAAAACTTTTTGCGTTTAATTCCTTCGAAGCTGTAACACGCCAGCGTGGACTCATCGGTTGCTCTAACGTTACCTCTGGACATTGGTGGCTTGGAGCATTCACGCATAGACCAATGACCCCCTCCCCAGATTTAGACAGCGTTCAAGATTTTCGTGCGGGCTGTGGTTTTTACGTTAGACTGTGAAGAGAAGGGGACATATTCTACCCTCCCCCACAGATCATGAGAACCGCTAGTACGATTTTGATGGACGATCACCTTTCGATTTATTTGGATGAGAACTCAATAGAGGGAGTGTTCCACATTTATATGGGGTTTTGAACTGGAATAGCCATGTTGAAGACCTTCCGGTTCTGTTCACAATCCTGCCCCTCTTAGACCTAAGCCCCTCTAGTTTCTGAGCTGCACGCCCGCAAAAACGGGGGCAAGGTATATCGGGGGAGAGTATTTTAAACTCACCTTGGTATTCACGGGGTCATAACAACGCCATTCAAATCCCACCATTCCATGAGCGTTGCGGTGATCAAGCCCAAGAAGAGTGTAATGGTTGAGGCTTGCATATCTGGCGTTCGTGAGTAAAAATATGTAATGGCCTTTAACTGGCTCTCAATCAATGTTGCGCAAGGTACGATTACGTAATCAAACCGTGACGCATTTAGTAATATATTTGTTAAGCACAGCATGGAGCCGTCTTTTTCATTTAAAGAGTATACCAATAGTTATAAGTGAGCTTGTTTCATCATGTCTGATGTTTGGTTCAATGCCTTCTAATGCGAAACATTCCCGTAAAAATAATGAAATAAATGATTGGGAGATGGGCGAAAACACCTCAAAATGCTGGATATTATTTGAAAGGCCAGTGCCCATGTTTGGTGACCAGTTGTCATGGAACAAACACGTGCAAGCGTGAGATGTAGATACAGGTCTTTAGCTTATCCAAAGTTGAATATCGAAAGCATGTGTGAAGTGATTTCAGGGATGGACACAAGATTAGGCAAATCTGTCCTCGCAGGGAATAGGGAGAAGCCGATATTTGTGCGGACGACACAGCTGTGTGTTCGCTGTGCGGAGAACACCTGTGGCCTGCCCTGCGTGTCTCTCGCGTACACCCGGCGGCGCCTCCGGGGGGCACCGGCGCCGGCCGGACCACTAATCAGTCCGACCTCGACAACAGCACGCGCGTCTGGCGGGCCGACCCGCCACGCCGGCGCCGCGTGCCGCGGCCCAGACGCGCGTCACCTGCGCCGCGGCCAACCTGGCCGTCCGCGCGGCGGGCACAGGTCGGAGACAGGGCGAGAATCGGCTCGGCGCTGGGACGCCGCATCAGTCCACGGTCGCCACTGCCGCGGCCGGCGCGTCGCCCGATTTACCAGCCACCCGGCGCCTGGCTGACATTCAGGGTCATAACCGGTTGGTGTCTGCGAGCTTGTGCGGCGGCAGAACGCGTCGCACCTGGCCGGTGCTGGCGCGCCACCTCACTGGCCGATCACGTAACATAGGCATAAATAAACACTGCATGCAATCGTGTAGTGGTGACTGCAGGGATGCAACGCTATGGTCGGTCGGTGGCTCAACCGCCCCCCTCTCCCTCCCCCCCCCCCCCCCCTCCCCGCTGAACGGACGCTCAGTCCGTCACGTCGCGTTCAATGGCTGCCCGCGGGTCGGTGACATTCCTTGTTAAGTCCTTGGGCGCAATATCAGCCCTTGTTCCCGCACTTTGTCCGGCAGATCCGTGAAACAACACCTTCTGGCTGCTGGCAACCCCGGTGGGCCCGCAGGTTTGCCGTCAAAAACTGATTTTGGCGCCACGGATTCATTTTCGTGCCATGCAAATCCTACTTAGCATTGGTTGAGGTAATATCAAGCTGTAAGTACATCTTAACGAGGGAATTAACCGAAAGGTCAGCATTGCTGGAATACCGTTTTGCGATGCGGTGATACTGAGCCCGAGTTTAGCTTGATCGCTTGGGCCTCATTGACATGCACCCTTTGAGTGCCGACGTCGCCGGCGGCAGTGCCGGTTGCTGCAGTGCTTGCAACTTGGGAGGGAAGAACTAAATTGGATGGTGTTGACATGATCGATAGACTTGGAACGTTTCTGCACGCTATGCCACCGGGTTCACGTCTTCATGTGGTCTGTTTCCTGGCATATGATACAACGCCTGTAAAGCTGTCAAAGCAGGTTTCAGTCATTGTGATGTGCAAAATACTCTCATGGCTCGTAACGTTCGTTCTTAGCGAGGGAACCAAACAACTTGGATATCACGCTAACTACCGGGCAGAAGGGAACACATGTTCTCATTTGACACGCGTGTGCCGGAGTCTACCAGCACGCATGCACTTGCTATTTTGTTGCGTTCGATAGCATGTGCTTTGAAAGTTTAGTTGACTTGTCCCAAGCTCATGTGACACCATGCTGCTGCTTAGCGTAGAAAAGTAGGTAGAAGTCGTCCATTTGCCCTGGCGAACGCGGTATTTCGCGGCAGCGCAGAGGCAGATCAAAGTTCGCTTCAACACCAGGGGAATGCGGTTTCATAAGAAGCTTCTGAGAGGCAAGAAGTGCTGAACCTAAGCAAAGAACGAGCTGGAAGGCTACAGTAAAAAGGACAGCAGAGTGCATCGCAAAGGTCAAATGTATCATCATTAAGATTCCATAATTTCCATATTCCCATATAGAGTCCCATAATTCATCAGAAACCTCGTTTAGGAGATCGGCATCGATCACATAACCATACGGCAGATTCTGAAAAACGTCCTGAAGCTACCTCCATACAAGTGTCCACCCACCGAAAGCTGGCATAAGTTGACAAACAACAGCATATGACATGCGCTACCTGGCTGAAGACGAAGGCTGAAGTTGTTTCTGATTTTCTGCTCATCTTCACGCCCAACGAGATCTACTTCAACCTGAATGGGACATTTCATCGAATGTGGTAATACCCAAAACTGCCGGACTAGAGCCCTGGAGCTGCCAGACAGATTGTGCTGGAGTTCTGCCGTCGTTTAAAGTCGTGCTGCACAGTCCAAAGGGGAAAGTGTGGTGCGTCATGAGATTCAGCGGCCTTCGGACTCTTTTTCAACAGGCGCAGACCGCTCCACGGTCACGGTAAACAACGAGCAATACGTCGGCACGCTGGAACGCTTTTAAAGGCAGCTGGAGTGAGACTGATGGAGAGGGACAGCATCTGGTTCGGACATGAATGAACAAATTCCTACACATTGAGGGTTCCCTGATCTGGCCGTAGCGTAGAGCGCATCGCTAGCCGAAAGACAAGCAATCCGCAATCGACTCATTTCCCGGCTCTTACCCTACTCGATCTCTATCCATCGGCTTGCTGAAAATCCGAGTGTACAGGAGCTCTTCAGCAGAGCGCCTTCAGCAGGGGGCCCGCATGGTCGCTTGACCTCACTTGACACGTGCGCAGCGGTCGTCGGTGAAGTGGCGAGGCTCACAACCTCTGCCTCCTACCAAAAAGGGGTCACCTGAAGAATTTGATATGACGGGTTCACTGAGTGATGGCAAGGTATAAACGATGGATGTCACAAACATCCATGGTTCCGTGAAACTTGTACTTCAATGTATTTTTGCCAATGTACTTGCTTTTTATGCTGTGGGCAGCTGAAAGCAAGACACCTTTTCTACCCGGTACAGAGTACCTGCTCTATTAGGCGCGGGGAAGAAAGTGTCGTTCGTATAGACCAGTTGAACTGAAAGTGTCCGAATAAAGCATCGCTGGCTTGTCTACCGTTACGTGAGTTTACAAGTTGGAGACAGCAGCTGGTAAATTGGGAAGGCGGTAGCGATTATTGCGTGACACAACGCTTTCCTTCTGGCCATTGCTCCGTGTGTGTCGCACTAGCCGCTCTCACAGGTCATGCTGTGGTCCACGAAGCTGAGAGGCGATCATCGGCTGGCGTCGTTAGCGACTCGGTTGCAGGATACTCCCCTGTTGTTATTGATTAAGAAGAGAGCAAGTCAACATCCCGATAGGGAATCAGAGTTCTCTCCGCAGAAGACTCCACTGTCTACGGCTTCCATGGAAGGTGGTCACTGATGTCATTCGTGCTATGGGCCCTGCATTGATGCCAGCTTTGATGCGTGCCACCGTGAAGCCAAGCAACAGCTATAGCGTGCATGAGGTCGTCGGATGCCCGCCGGCTGGCACAGGACATCAGCAGCGTCTGCAGGGACGCGCGGGCTGGGCGGTGTCAGTGGGCACCGGGATACTCCCGCATGTCTTACCGGACGCCATGGCGTGGCGCGCGCGCCGCGATCTCTCGAGCTCTGACCGGACAGAGAGCTCTCTGACCGGTCACCGCCAGTCGGACTGGCTGCAGCCGCGCGCCGCGAGCTGCAGCCGAGCTAGCGGTGACCGGTCCGGCTGGAGGGACGGAGCTGGCTGGAGCTGAGATGGAGCTGAGCTGCCGCGGATCGCCGCTAACGCCGCCGGTCCATTGCAGGCGATCCACCCCGCTGCGATGCCGCCCTGTGACCGGCGCTGCGGGTGGTGAGGTCTGGCCGATGCCGCCCTGTCGCCGGCGCTGCAGCTGCTGAGGTGCGCCATGGTGCCGCCGGCCGCTCGGCCGCTCGTGCTGCTGGTACTGCTGGCGCTGGCGCCGCCGGCCACGCCGACCACCGAGCTGTCTGCGCCTAGCTGTTTGGCTGAGGACCCAGGTAAGGCGGGTCTTGCACTGGAATCCCAGCTGCTCCTTGGCCCCTGAGCTCGTGTCCACTGTAGTCGCTGACGCCTCATACAAGGGTGCACGGCGGTGTGCGCAGCGTTTTTTTTATACAAATGACACCGATGTGCGCGAGAAGACATAAATGGTCTTTCTGGTATCCGTATGGTTGCTTCGGGTTTCGTTTTACCTCTCGCGACGTGTTGGTACGCATGCAGCTTTAGTTTTGCGGGGCCGCTATTCGACAACCAAGCGTGCCTCCTCCAGTCCTCCAGAACCCACGTTGCAGCGGTTATCACGCCGCCAGTGAAATGCTTGCGTCGGGCTTCAGCAGACAGCATAACATGTAGTTGTCGGCCAGGACCATGATTAAGTCATTTAGAAATGTTTACTTCCACGAAGAAGCCGGTGTGCGCAGTTAGGCGGCTGAACATTGCGCGGAGTAAAGCCGACACTGATACATTCTGATGGCCCTAGTCATCCTCGCAGCAAGCTCATCAATAAAACATATGTGAGACCTCGAATGACCTGCTGCGATTCGTTTATGGCATCTTGACGCGTTAGCTTAACAGAAACGTTTTACTTCGTATGGGGTTATGGAGTGATGTATCCAGATAACTGTGCAGACGGATATTGCGCCCATAATATTATTTTGGCATGACACGCTCTTATTTCTAAGGTTGAATGTTATAAATCCACCGAAGCATCAAAAAATAGGACAATTGTATGAAAGCGGAGGTGTCACGTGGCCACGATTGACAACGCCAACGACCAATGTTCTGACGCCCGTCCGCTGTGTTCGGCCATTGATCGGTCGGATGTGACGTCACACCGAGTGTGACGTCATGCCGAGTGTGATGCAACGCGCCGGAACCCTGTTTTTCGCCAGATCATGATACTGCCAGCTCATCCCAACGAAAACAGTCGATGGCATGGTCATGTCCAGCGTGCGCTGCTTAAGCTTGTTTTTCTTTTCTGATGACCCTCAAGGACGAGACGGTCATTCTCTTCAGCAAATTTTGGTCGCTCCAACAAAGACGTGCTATCCGCATCCGGTCAAGCAGATAGGACGTCACCAGCAGATGCAGGGGTACCGCGCACCGGAATATCGACCGCTATGCCGTACATTTGGAGCCTATGGCGAAGCGATGCAGCAAGGAGCTGGCAAATTATGATGGTCTGTTCTCGGGCGCTCTCTACGCGCGTCAAACGCGAATCAAAAGTCGGTGATCATGGTGACGATATGAGATAAGGTGTGACGCATGATACAAAGCCAAGAGTGCCTAAATTGAGATCCAAGATACCTTGATCGTCACAATATAAGCAATTCCATGCAAGGTACAAATATCTGGTAAAGGCATCTTAAATATGCAGGCTGGAAGCAAACTGCAATCGATAAACTACCGCGTATTGTCTAAAAGAAGGTATGACGGAAATAGGTCGCGTGCTTGGTTTTCAAGCATGCAATCAAAATACCTCGGGATCCTCTTCTTTGAAGGAATGAGCAGCGTGACCAGACGAGAATCGGGAGAGAAGGGGATATCCCGTATGCACGGCGACAGCTGTCGAAAGACATAACGCATTCAGGAAAAGCGCAACGCAAGCAGCTGTGCAGTTGTTAGCTATCACCGGGGTCTATGCACACGAGTCCGATCTACACAAAAAGTGTTCGTTTGAACAGAGCGCAAGGGAGATCATTTCGACAGGTGGCCAGGTTCCAAGATGGTTGCCTTGTCGGAGCTGCCCGCTCCCAAATGCGATCGCGGGTGTACTGTGGTCGCTACCGCTCTTGCACCTGCAGCTGATGATGTGGACCCTGAAGTTACTGCAAGTGTTCCAGCGAGTTGAGACGCTGCTGAGATGGTTCGGTGTCCTGGCCGAAGGCTCGTCGTTGCCCCATGCGTGGTGTGAGGCTAGCGTGTGGCGCGCAGACACATGCTACTGTACAGACACCGCAGACACATGCCACTGTACGGACATCGCAGACACATGTCACTGTACAAACATCACAGACACATGCCACCGCACAGACATCGCAGTCTTTCGGGTGTTTGGTTTGCATAAGAGCCTTGTCGGCCAATAGTGACTTTTTAGATCTATGTGAAGAACGACAGTGATCAGTCATGGGCGGGGATGTAATTTCGTAACGTTGGTCGGGAGTCTGAGCAGAAAAAGGTGGTCAAATCTTCCCCGAGATTTGCCTAAAAAACTGGTTTCCCCTCGGCGTGGTACGATAGTGTGTGCCATTGCGCCACGTCATGGCCTTCGAGATGGTGTGGCGATAAAACGTAACGTGGCGTGATGGTGACGCGTTGCGTGGTGTGGTGCAGGTACGAGTCGCAAGACGGAGTAGTCGTGTGTGGCACAACAGAGTCGTGACGCGTTACACAGCGGACCTGTCGCATTGCGCGGCCAGTGTAGTGTTGTAAGGATGCCCCTGGTGTATTGATGGTGTACTGCAGCTCCGAGGTCAGTGGAGGAGGAGTCGACGAACATCGACGGCATTGGCCAGTCTGCGTGCATCGGTCTGCAGGGCTTGCTCCACGTGTCTCCATAAGACAAAGACGCTGCTCGAAGCCCAACTGGGGCTTTGCAGCACGTAATCGCAGACGGATTTTGCGCAGCGTTTGTGCCAATCGATGTTCCTCCGACTGGGATGATCAGAAACCGTCACCATAGCGCAGTATCTGGGTTGACTAAGTGCCGCCGAATCACGAAATTCTCACGCTGACTTACCTTAATGAAATCAGAGAAAAGACAGTATTGACTCGACCAACTTAGACCTAGCCGATGATTATTTCTGTCTTCAGCGATCCTGTTTTGCCATATTCGGGTTGGTGTGGCACACCGCCGTGCCACGGCCTCGCGACGCCCATCGGTGGGCGGGCGAGCAGTGGCGGCCGCGCTCGGCCTCTCCGGCGGTGACCAGAGCCACGCGCCGCACCCGGGACCCGGCCCCACTGCACTGCGTCCGCCGGAGTGCCCCAAGTCCAGCGTTAGTGGCCATGGCGACAGCCGTGCCGGACGGGCTCGGTGGAGCCCGGCGGCCCCCGCCGCCCCGGGCCTGCCCCCGGCCTGCCCCCGGCCTGCCCCCGCCCTCGCCCCAGCCCTCGCCCCAGCCTCTGCAGCGGTCACCGTGCAGCCGCCCGGTCCTGGTATTCTAGCGAGGAGGCCGGATGTACACTCTGCCGGGGTATTGTTCAGCTGTGGATTCGGTGGTGCTCAGCGTAGCTGGTGGTGCACATGGAGACGTAGGTGCAGGCAGCGGCGGTGAAACGAGGCCGTACAACAGGCGGTGTGGTGCGTCCGTGCGTCGCCACTGCGCGATCCGTGGGAGACTGAAGTGTCATTGATCGGTACATTTGATGCGTCTCCATGGAAACTCCATTAGTGAGTACAACCACACTATGATGTGGCGTATGAACATTGGAGTGCTCAACCATGCCCTGGAAGCAGTGATCGGGGTAAAGTTTCTTGTTTAGTTATGGTAGGAGAGGGGTGCTCCAGCCCTGTATCCAACCTTGGCTTTCCAAGTGGGCTAAATCGTAGGATAAACTCGTTTTTCGCGTATTTTGTGGTAAAGTTTCGGGAGTTTCACCTACACAGTTCCTCCAGCAACTTGTACTGAAAAGATTCCACACCCGACTGGGGAGTATCATATATGACACTGATCTCGATCGCCCCGCCAATGTTGTTCTGTCGCTTGCAAAATTGGTGTGCGAAAGATCCGGAGTTGTAGTCTGCCAACGGAAGGGATTTTTGTATTGCAGTACTGCTGCAGGAAAACACGAAGCAGAATACAGTAATGCGCTTGCAGTCAGTGAGGTGCCACCGGTGCATGTGGTCTGGGAAGTGGCTGTGAGCGCGCGCTTGTAAGTGTTTGTGCAGTTGCAGCCTGGAAAAAATCGGAGCGGGCCGGAGTCGGAGCCGAGATCGGGGCCGGGGCCGGGGCCGGGGGCCGGGTCGCAGATGGGGCCCCGGGGCCGGGGCTCTGGTCGGGGCTCTGGCCGGGGCCGGGGCCGGGGCCGGGGCCGGGGCCGGGGCTGGGGCCGTGGCCGCAGCTGGGGCTCCGGGGCCGGGGCCGCAGCTGGGGCCCCGGGGCTGGGGCTCTGGCCGGGCCGAGCCTGGGGCCGGGGCCGGGACTGGGACCGGGGCCGGGATGCCCTGCTAAGGCTCGGCCTGCAGCGGCGCGCGGCGGGCCGGCGCTCGGATGCGTGGGGCCGCGCCGCTCGCTCCGTTTGTTTATCTGGCGTCGGACCGCCGGCCGGACGGCGTCTGGGTGTTGCGGCCCGGCCGGCGCGGCGGTGCCCTCTCAAATGGCGCCGACCGCCAGAACAGGGAAGTCACACCAGTGATCGCCAAATCGGCGGCTGCTAAACTAGGGAACGTCAGATCCGGGGCCGTCATATCAGGAACCGTCAGATATGGGACAGTCTGATAGAGCACTGTTGGATCAGGTGCCGTTCAGAGCTGGGCTGTTGGACCAGAGGTGTCAAACCAGGGACCGCCATGCCAGGAACTGTCATGCCAACGTCTGTCTAATTAGGGTTTGTCAGGCGAGACACCGTAAGACCAGTTACTGTAGACCACGGAGTGAGAGACCAGGGACCGTCGGATAAGGTTCTGTCCGGCCAGGGGCAGCCAGACCAGGAACTTTCAGGCTAATGACTGCATGACCAGAGACTGTCAGACTATCGGCTGCCAGACCAGAGAGACTGTCAGACTAGGGCGCCGTGTAACCGCGAGTAGAACGTCATAGACATTGCTGGGGTGGAAGGCCAGATGAACTCCAAAAGCAGTTGGCTAAGACTGGTCTTGGGTTTTTGACGAGTTTTTGTGTTTTTTAGTATCTGAGCAAATTTTTGGTGTCTAATTTTGAAGGTCGAGAGAATTATAAAGATCTGTGTGTGGTGGAGATAGTGTGTGTTTGGGGGGTGGGGGTTGGGGGTTTGGGCGAGGGCTTGTGAATAGATGCAAGGCTGCACCATGCTTGTTATTGCTGTATGATCATTTAGTGCACTGCGTGAGGTGACCCATGCCGACTATCTCGCCGCGGCTTTTCTGAACAGGGTGATTTAAATCTGCCTGTGCGTATTCAACACATCTTCGTCGGCCGGGATCCCGTGACCTCTCCGATGTTTACTGGGTCTCTCCTCGACACATCTTCGTCGGCCGGAATCCCGCGACCTCTCCGATGTTGACTGCATCCCCTCGACACATTTTCGTCGGCTGGGATCCCGTGACCTCTCCGATGTTTACTGCATCCCCTTCGACACATCTTCGTCGGCTGGGATCCCGTGATCTCTCCGACGTTAACTGGGTCCCCCCACGACACATCTTCGCGACCTCTCCGATGTCAACTGAATCCCTCCGGCTCCTAGACGCCACGACAGCGTTCCGCCGCTCTTCCAAGGCCTCAAAAACGGGAGCGTCACTTAACTATAAGAGCTGGTGCTCACACGGTAACTGTGGGGCTTGTTAAAGCCATGTATCTTTGCACGCCTCGCCATGGTTTCAATGCTGAAATGCTGCATTATTGTGGGCGCAGGGCCCCTCTTAAGTACACAAAGTGTCATCGAGTGCGGCAGCGGTGACAGCTGCTGCGCAGTAATGCGCGCTGCGCGCCAGCCTCGCCGCCGGATGCGCCGAGGCCGGTCTGCTAGTGGCGCCGCCACACAGACAGGCCGGAAATGCCGCAGAACTGGCGAAAGCCAAGGCCACTGCGCTGCCGTCGCTGCTTCAAGTCGTGTTTGGTGACAATTTGTGACTATCTGAGTCGAAGGATGCAAGCTGTGGTTTGGAATATCTGTGGATAGGGCATTGTGCAAGTGCTTATTGTGGGTTTTGTGCATGTGGATTTTGGACCTCGGTGGTGTTTAGGTGGATTGATGGCGATTATGGTTGACGTGAGGATTTTGCGCCCGAGATCACTGTTCTGGGAAAGCCGAGAGGGCTAAAGCGCATCGATTAGTTCAGGCTGTTAGATTATGTTCAATCATGACTTGAATAATCATCATTCATCAGCTGTAAATTGTCTTTGCTATTGGCAGCGGGCATTGCGGTACCCATACAACCGCAGATGATTTCCCTTATAGCCTCGTAGCGTGTGACAGGGGACAGGCCTTCCTTATCCTGTGCAACTGCTCTCATCATCTTCTCCACGGTCTTGCGTCAGTGTGTCTGTCAGTTTAGTTCAGCGAGTGGGCTGCAGCTGTCTGTGCAGCCGTGCCCGGCCAGTCAGGTCAGGTCAATGTGTGGGCTGCAGCTGTCAATGTAGCCGTGAGATCAGTGTCAAGTCAGTGTCAGGTCAGTGTCAGGCGAGCATGTCAGGCTAGGTCAGTGCCAGGTCAGTGTCAGGTCACTGTCAGGTCACTGTCAGGTCACTGCCAGGACAGCATGCCAGGCTAGGTCAGTGTCAGGTCATTGTCGTGCCAGTGTCAGGTCAGCGTCAGGTCAGCGTGTCAGGCTAGGTCAGGTCAGCGTGGCGACTGCAGTCAGTGTGTCGTGTGTCGGCTGCGCCCCGTTGCTCTGGTGATAAGATGGCTGTCGCGGGGTGCCAGTGAGGCCCGCCTTGGAATGCGGCGGCGGCCCGCTCAGGGGCGTAACGTCGGGCTATCCTGGCTGGGACGGGGGCGTTCACGCGGCTCACCGAGAGGCCCAGACGGTGACATCTGGGGGCTGCTGAGAGGCTCAAATAGTGAATTACGGACCTATTGAAGGGCTAAGATGGCGACGTTAGGGACCCACTGAGGGCCTCAAATAGTGACTTACAGGCCTACTGAAGGGCTAAAATGGCGACGTTAGGGACCCACTTAGGGGCTCAAATAATGACTTACAGGCCTACTGAAGGGCTAAGATGGTGACGTTAGGTACCTACTGAGACCTCAAATAGTGACTTACGGACCTACTGAAAGGCTGAGATGGTGACGTTAGGGACCTACTGAGGGCTTAAATAGTGACTTACGGATCTACTGAAAGGCTAAGGTGGTGACGTTAGGGACCTACTGGGAGGGTAAAATGGTGACGTATGAAGCGGAAAGCCGCTCAGAGTGTGCCGCCTAGAACCTGCTGATAGGCCCAAACGAAGATTATGAGGGACACTGTGGGGTAAGGGCGGTGACGTCTGGGGCCTGCGCAGATGCGCTGACGGTAACGTCTGGGTGCAACCGAGAGGCTGGGACGATGCCGTCTGGAGGCTGCCCGAGAGGCCCCAACGTAACCCGCCTGAGAACGCGAAGAGCTGCCCCCGAGGCCAGTAGTCAGTCGGTGACATGTGAGCGTGGGGGAGGGGAGGCTGAGAGGGCTCGGGTAGCGACGTCTGGAACCACTGTGAGAGGTGATGTTTGGAGCCATTGAGAGGCCAGACGCGGAAATGTGGACACGACTGAGAGGTCCTGGCAGTGTCTCGCGAGAGCTGCCGAGAGGCTGAGGCCCTGTTGTGTGATTGTTTGTTGCTTTAGGGAACGCGACGCGCGTCGTCGCGCACCCATTTATGGGACGCCAGCGACGACAGAGGTCGCTGGCGTACAGCGCGCAGGGGCCATCAGATCACCGGAGTTTAAATCTGCCCCTCCCCGCACGTGGGAGCCGAAGGGGTTAACCACCCCATCATTTAACCCGCTGACCTTGCTGCGTTAGGGCCACTGAGAGGGTGAGGCGTTGTCACCTGGGGAGGCACAGAGAGCGCTTACCCCTGGGGCTGCTGAGGAAGAAGCGCTTACCCAGCACCCATACCCACACAGCGGCGTATGGGTGCTGAGCTGCTTACCCCGGGGGTTGCTGAGCTAGGCTCACACAGCGGCGTGTGGGAGCTGCTGGTGGACCGGGACGGAGTGCGCTTTGTGGCAGGGGTAATGGGGTAGCTGAGAAGTGAACCTCTTAGTGTGTAGGCCACTCCGAGAGCTAGAACAAGGCTCAACTGTCGTGTTTTTTAAGAGACGTTGTCGAGAGATGTCGCTCATGTTCAATCTCACAATGTCTCCAAAAGGCAGTGTGACATGCAGCAGCGAGGCATGAAAACGATTGAATGCAAGGAAAGCACGCTCGGCACACAAACAATCGTCAAAGTGTCCAAATATGCGTTAGTCTAGATTAATTTTAGTGTTAAGGCATTCCATCAAGCTCTTCTTTTTAATCAGCTTAAACCCTTGGTACGAAGCCTGCTATGGGATGTAGACCTTTCAAAGCCTATGCGTATCACCAGCTCACGAGCTGTTATTGGAGCTTTAACGCGCACTCAGCTGCTGAGGCCGTGTGGCGTCGCCTGCCTCCACCCTGATGAGAAGGGCGGAGACTGCGGGACAGCTGACAAGTGGGCGTTGGCTATAAGAAACACAGGCCTGATCTCCATTCTCTATTGCCTAGCCGGCATATGATATATTTTCTTTGTGAAATCCTGCGGCCGGTCAGGCGTTTTCAGCAACATTGTCTTTATGCATGGCACGCCCGCGCGTCGGCTGGTAATGGGACAGAGCTTGCGTGACTTCTGGTCAGCGCTGTGGCGGGCCGGCGATGTTAATGTCACGTCTGTGTGTTGGACTGGCATCACTTTGACGGTTTTGTGTTTCGGTGGGTTTACTTGACGCTCGTGTATTTGAGTGGCGTGACATCCGTGTGTTGCTGTGACACTCCCGCCACGTCTGTGTGGTGAAGTGATGGCACAGTGACACCCGTGTGATGTAGTGACGTCACCATGACGCCGGCGTGATATGGTGACGTCACCACGACGCCGGTGTGATGAAGTGACGTCACCGTGAGCCGGTGCGATGTAGTGACGCCACCGTGACGCCTGTGCGAAGTGACGTCACCGCGACGTCGGTGTGATGTAGAGTGACGTTACCGTAACGCCGTTGTGATGTAGTGACGTCACCGTGACGCCGGCGTGATGTAGTGACGTCACTGTGCCGCCGGTGTGCTTCAGCGCCGACGGTGCGACACATGCAGTGGAACGAGGAGGAGCTGGATATCCGCCTGCAGGTGTCGAGTCGGCCCAGCTCCCAGCTGATCGCCTGGATCTTCAAGCTGTTTCTGGAGGACGTCCTCGGCTACGTTCGCGTCCGTCTGGTCTACCTGCCGGACCACTACAACATGACGGCATACATCCTGGCCCTCTCCCAGTGTCCCAGGTGGGTCCCAGCGCGCGCATCCGCCTGAGAGCGGGCTTATAAAGTCTCGTGGCCGGACTTGAGGCTTTCCTTGGCGTTAAAACCCTGGCTGACAGCATTTCGGTGTTCGGGTGACAGGCATGTCGCCAAAGATAGCCGGGATTTGGCGCCACAAAAGTTAACGGTGCATTACTCACACGCTGTAAGAGCACAGTCGTCGTCTGTCAGTGGAGTGCGATGCAGCACAACGAGATTTCAGATGCAGGTCAACATCGTTCGCTTCCGAAGTTCTGGGTGGCCTCTGCCGATGCGCACCACACCCGCGGGTTGCCGGATGTACTCCTTAGGTGTGCACCGCGCCGGGCATGTTCCCGTCGTTCGTGGAAATGAGCGGCATCGGCCGCGGCGGCGCTGCGGCCGCCGCCGGCTGGCACGTATCTGCGTCACGCGGCGCCGCCTGGCGGCCGCCCCGGCGGCTGTGGAGCGCCAGCTGACTCAGCCAGCCAGCCGGCGCCCAGCGGTGACAGCGGCGCTGGCTCAAGCGGCACCAGCGCACAGAGGCGGCCAACAGCCGTCACGGACACACAGACGAAACTGGCCCACAGCTGTCACGGACAGACAGGGGCGGGCGGACAGGAAGGCCGACACAGAGAGGGTCGACACAGAGAGGGCCGGCACAGAGAGGGTCGATGCAGCGAGGGCCGACACGGCGAGGGCCGACACAGAGAGGGCCGACACAGCGAGGGCCGACAGAGAGAGGGCCAACACAGAGAGGGCTGACACAGAGAGGGTCGACACAGCGAGGGCCGACACAGAGAGGGCTGACATAGAGAGGGCCGACACAGAGAGGGCCGACACAGAGAGGGCCGACACTGCGAGGGTCATGACAGCGAGGGCCGTTTCAAAGTGTTCGAGTGCCCAGATGACGGACACATGGATAAAAAGCACGGATCTCATACTCCCACACCTTTTCAAAGACACTGGGCTAACTCTCTCCAGTGTCACATACGTGGGATGCAAATAATAAGATTCAGAAAAGGGATTTTGTGTCAGACATCGTGCCACGAAGCATCGGTTGAGAACTGCTGTGTCAAAAACTGTTGTTTGGGTGCTTTAAACAAGATCAAAGGAGCATTCCAAAAATTGTTTGGCGGAGAAAACAAATTTTGTTCTGGGGTACAGCTTGTACGAATGACAACATTATGAATGCTGGAGTACACGGATAAGAGGGAGACCCCCGCCCCTCAGCCCCTGTCAGCCCGTCTCAGCTCCCCCCAGATGGGGAGGGACAGTGGTCTCTGCCTTGCCTTACTCGTACACGTACGGCTGGAAGCGCTCCATCCGTATGATAGAGTGGAGGCTACCAAAAGCTATTTGTTTCGTTTTTCATAACTTCCTTACGAGCTTTTATTGTTTAGGTCGTTTTTTAAATGAAAATAAATGTATGAGAAGCATAAAGCTGAATATCGATAGATCAACGGGTCGTAATATTCAATTTCCACATCTTGGGTTTTACCACTGCCTTCGACATTCTACAAAGTAACGTGTTCGTTGACGCTCTTGCTACGTAGGCGTAATGTGGCTAACGGAGAGCTTCAAAAGACGCTTGCATCAAACGTGTGTTATCTAGTTTGCTCCGCTGAAATGTTATTAGGGCTCATTTTGGTCCTCCTGCACGTGCCCATAACACGACGAATGAACTTTTGCTACGGCGAAGGACTGCGCATGTAAATGGCTTCCCTCGCCACATATTTGTCATCTCAACATGGAAATTGGACGCTCCTAGGGGCATCACTGTCATCGTAAGTCTAAGGGAATTGGCCAGCGGTGGCTCGCGCGATACCTGCCCTTCCTGCCAAGGTGAGGGGGTGCGCGACGCCACATAGTCGCAGCAGCTGAGGGCGCCGTGGAGCCTCGATAAGAACATGCGTCCATATGGCTCCCTATCAGCTTTTTTGGAATGCAAATGTTCCCTGGCCTTTCTTGCCAAGTTGGCGGCATTAGATCGTGATGGTTCTAATTTCCATGCATATCATAGTAAACTGCGCATATCAGCAGCGTGGCATAGAAGTAAATCGAAGCATCGACAGCTAGTCATCTCATCATGAGCAAGAATGACATGCGCTGGGATGGGTAATGAACTGATCACCATATTTTTTAGCTACAAGGTCTATTTTGATCATTTTTATCGGCACGAACTTTTCTCGAGGCAAATGACCGAGTGTTATTTGACGTCACCTTTGACCGCCAGCATGCATCACGGAGCTAACGTAGCGCGATAACATAATCGGTGCGTGGTGCGAACGAATCGGGCCAAGTCGCTGCACAGGCTGCGCTCAAGCTCGGCCGACGGCAGCACCCGCGTGTCTCGGCGCCATCGGTCGCGTGCCGTCTGCAGCAGCGGCTCTCCCCTGCCGACAGCTGTAACGACGAGGACGTGCTGCTGGCGTCCGACCGGACCGAGCTGCCGCTGCACGAGCCGCCGGCCACCATCAACCTGGAGGCGTGGGCGCCGCCAGGCTACGAGCTCGACCAGGATGCCGAGCTCTTGCATAACGTCATGTACGCCGGCCCGCTGGGCGCCGTCACCAGGTGAGCGGGGTTCAGGTAACGGGAGCGGGGGCCCGTCAGCAGGTGAGCGGGGATCAGTCAACAGGGGAGCGGGGGGCCGTCAGCAGGTCAGCGGGAGTCCGCCACCAGGGGAACGAGGGTCTGTCAGCAGGGGAGAGAGAGTCTGTCACGAGGGGAGCGGGGGCCCGCCACCGGGGTAGCAGGCGTCAGTCACCGGGGTGAGCAGGGTCAGTCACCAGGGAAGCGGGAGTCGGTCAGCAGGGGAGCGGAGTCCAGTCACTAGCGGAACGGGGTTCGGTCACCTGGTGAGTGGGGGTTCGTCACCAGGTGAGCAGGGTCAGTCGCCAGGGGAGCGGGGATCGTTCACAAGAGGAGCAGTGGTCCGTCATCAGGTAAGCGGGGCATGGAGCTTTGTATGTGTACATAGTGCATAGATTGCATTATTTTTTGCACATTGTCTGTAAAATGGACTCCGGTGAAACAAACCGGCGCGTCCAATTCCCTTAAGAGACCGTCGGATTGTCAGAGCTGCTATGTGTCGATTCCGAGCTTTCAGTAGCGTTGGGAGTCGGGCACAAGTCTGAGTTCGGATCCGGGTCAGATCAGAAGCGTCAGTGGAGTGTTGGGTTGGCGTTGTTGTCACTCACAATCTTAATGCCGAATGGAGATCGTGTTCGACCTTCTATGTGAGCCGGGATCAGGACTGACCTCAGTCCTGACGTGTCTCGTGTGGTGAATGGACGATGCATCGCTAGAAAGACCTGGGTGAAATCACCTGCGCGAAATTGTGGAAAACCGGCCGTGACATATGCATGAAATGAGAGGCTCTTCCACGCTCACAAGGTCATGCCTGCGCCACTTTCGGGCGCCAATGCGTCAGACGCTTTCTGACACACCCATTCCGCCCAGGCACCTACCTTTGTCGACGCTTGCCCTGTGCTCTGTTGCAGGATGGGCTGGTTTTTCCAGGAGCAGGTAGCTATTTCACACTCAGTTGTGCTGGATCATTGGAGAGCGTTCACCCGCTCGGAAGCTATCGAGATCTTCAACTATACGCAGACCGAGCTGGCCAGCCTGGAGCACAACCTGATGGATGAGTCTCACAGGTGAGCTATGGTCCAACTGAACTAATTGCAGGAGAGTGATATCACGCTGTATAGCCGTATGTGGCGTATGCGGCGTAGTCGTACGTGGCGTGCTGATCACAGGAGCGCAAGGTCCGCGGCTGTTGCCCATTTGAGCATGCATATATGTAGGGACTTCAGGGTAAGCTATAGGAGTGTGCCTTTGGTGTCTGCCAGACTTGACGCTGCATTATGTTGTTCAACCAGTCTTGTATCGAGGGTTTCGCCTAAAAATAGTACGGGTAGTCCACCACTTCAGTGTTCCAGTTCAGTCCCTATCGAAGGCCGCTGTCGCATTCTTAATTCTAAACGTGACAAAGCTGGGAAGGGTAAACCCGCCATCTTCTTCTCGTCTATCCTCATTCCCAACCACGAATTACAACCGCACGGAGGTGCTCACATTTATAACGCCTTCATTACCTGCTGGACCGTTCATTTTGTCATTGCTTGGAACGCATTTAACCCCATCCCCGTTTAACCCCAAGTGCAGACGGAAATAGTGACAGTGTAGTAGAGCTGCCTCGCGCCGCTCGTTCGGAACTGCCGCCCACCAGCTGCCTGCGCGGCGGTGAGCGAAACCTGATACAGCTGAGGTTCATCCTGCTCTCACGTGCATGAAGGGACAGGCCAAAGTTCTGAAAATGCTCAGCAATACTGAAATACCTCGCATGTCTGGCCAGCCAGTTTCACAACTGAGTTTAAACATGCGGTGATTCCTGAGTCCTCGACGTGTGTACGGTTGCCCCAGAAACGATGACGGATAATCAGAATGCAAGCGAAAACAAGGTGGCAAAAATGAATATTGTTTCACGTCTTGTCACTACCGCGATAATTTTCAGGTAATATTTACATTTTTGATTACCTTGCTGTTGTGCCTGTGTGCACTTAAAGAGCCACGCAAATTATGTTTGCATATTGTGACTGACAAGCGCAGGTTTTATGTTGATTCGAGAGCTAACGTGACAGAACCTTCCCCCACAAAATAGCCCGTTTGAGTCCCGGCCTGTTAGAAGAAGAGCGCCTTACACTACTGGCGATCTCCTCCCATGGCTTCTCATATGAAGAAATTATTCATAGAGCCACTACTTTGCATTGCCCTCCGATGGTGAAGTCACTCGGCGGTCGTACTCCCGTCCCCTATCAAACCCCTACCGGCGCCAGTTGGCCTCGGTCGTGCTCCCATCCCCCACCAGACCCTTATCGGCGCCAGGTGGCCTCGGTCATGCTCCCATCCCCCACCAGGCCCCTACCGGCGCCAGTTGGCCTCGGCCGTACTCCCATCTCCCACCAGACCCTTACCGGCGCCAGTTGGGCTAGGTCGTACTTCCATCCCCCACCAGACCCCTACCGGCGCCGGTTGGCCTCAGTCGCGCTCCCATCCCCCATCAGACCCCTACCGGCGCCAGTTGGCCTCGGTCGCGCTCCCATCCCCCATCAGACCCATACCGGCGCCATTTGGCCTCGGTCGTGCTCCCATCCCCCATCAGACCCATACCGGCGCCAGTTGGCCTTGGTCGTGCTCCCATCCCCCATCAGACCCCTACCGGCGCCAGTTGGCCTCGGTCGCGCTCCCATCCCCTATCAGACCCCTACCGGCGCCAGTTGGCCTCGATCGCGCTCCCATCCCCCCATCAAACCCCTACCGGCGCCAGTTGGCCTCGGTCGTGCTCCCATCCCCCATCAGACCCCTACCGGCGCTGGTTGGCCTCGGTCGTACTCCCACCCCCCATCAGACCCCTACCGGCGCCGGTTGGCCTCGGTCGTGCTCCCATCCCCCGCCAGACCAGCATCGGCGCCGGCTCTCTCATCTCTGCCGGTCTCTCACCGGTCTGTCACCGGTCCGCTACAAGCGGTAGCTGTGTCAGGCCGTTCTCCGCCCCGTCATCAGTTCACCTCTCGCGGGTGGACTGCGGCTGGCGCGCGGTGACGCCAGTGGTCGGATTTCCCCTGCAGGTACCACTGTGACGCGCCGCCGTGCCAGGACGGGAAGTTCGTGCCCCCCTGGTGCAGGGGGGTGCACTGTGCCGTACTGCTGGCCTCGCGGCCCGGTGAGTTCCGCTCCTGACGTGACGTCGCGCCTCACGCACGAGCGCGCACGCACGCACACGCGCTCGCTCGCCCGCTCGCTCACACGCATGTCTATACGCGTGTACGCGCACGCGAATTCATGCACCCACGCACTTTGCACACACTCACGTTCATGTGCACACACAACGTACACACGCTTACAAGCAAACGCTTTACGCACGGACCAGCGCGTATGTGCGTATGCGTGCACACAGCCTTGCACGCAGATACACACGCACCTGGAGGTGAAGCTTCACGTTCAAAACTGCACGCCTGACATTGGCGTATGCCACCGTTCTTCAAATAAGCTCTGTTGAACTGACGTCTGAACATGATTGAAGTGACGTTGAAATGATGATGGAACGGTATCCGACGCATGACATGTGCTGGACTTGGCTCGTTTGTTTTCATCACCATAGAAGCAGCGACAGTGATGGTGACTTTTCACTCGGGTGTCTTGCCGTTCTTGGCCGCGATGAAATTTTTCCCGATTAGTTTGTTCAGTTGTTGCCCCAATGTGTAGAAGACTGTGCGAACGTATGAAACTTTGGTGGTCTGCCGTGACTACGTACTGCTCGCTTGTTCGGACAAGTTCGCCTCCAATTCCGTTGGCCAGACGTCCTCGGCCTCGCGCATCCCTCACGACCGGCCATCGTCCTTTAGAGGAGGCCAACTTCGTGCTGGACCAGATCGTGGAGCTGCAGCTGCAGGTGCGGGTGTACTGGGTCGGCGACCACCTGGCCCGCCTGGTCACCCTGAGAACGGAGGCGGACAGGTAGGGACAGCCTCGCCGCCGGCGGTGACGCCTCTGCTGACGCTCTTATGTGAACCATGCACTTCAGCCGCGCTGGGTCAGGCTCCCCCAGAATGCGGCGCTTTGCTGTGATCTGACCCTGCTGTCCATGCAGTCAGCATTGGAGTCATCCTGCGGTGGATCATCGGCCCAGATGTACGGCTGGATGGAGAACACTGTTGTCTTTTGCAATTATCCTGGCCACCATTGTCGCTGCTTGTGGACACTTTTGGCCGCAGCAGGTCTTGTGCTCCTGAGGTTTAGGGCCCCGTTCTTCTATCGGCGATCATTATATATTATGATCACACTGCAGCTGACTGCTAGGTGTGGGGTGGTGACCTATTTACTGATGCCTTGTTTTGCATGCTTTCGAACTTAAGTGGGTGTAAAATGACCGCAGCTATTAAACCGTCTTGAAACCAAGATCATTATCACTATAACTGTTTAATTACTTGCGCTTTATTTATTTAGCCATCACATTATTAAACTATATATATATATATATATATATATATATATATAAACATGTGTACACTGTGACATTATTTCGATGTTTCATTGTCATATTCGACTCAGCCGTTTCATCTTGAAACACCTGTCGACAGGGCACCTTCCGTTGAACGCTGCCACGTACCTTCGCTCACCATGCCTAGGTCCCTGTTGCTCCGAAGTCCACGCAGGCCCCGAGTTCATGACTGGCAAGGGGATTGGAAAAGCGATAGCAGGTGTGGCGACGACAACCACCATTCAAGCCACCTCTCGTGATTGTATCACGTAGTTGCCCGACGTCCGACGCCGCGCCCCGCCTCCCCGTCGCAGGCCCGTGCTGTTCGTGCACTACACGCCCAGTCTCCTGACCTTGAAGACGACGTACGCGGAGGTGGCCTTCCCAGCCTGCCTGAACGGAGCCTTCTGCTTCACTGGCACCCGCCATCTCAAGAAGCTGGCGTGGAACAAGCTCAGGGACAGCGCCATCCTGGCTGACAAGGTTCGGCACGCGGCCTCTGTCCGATTCAGGCAGGCGCAGAGCGCTGGAGGGGGCGGGGGGGGGGGGGGGAAGAGCCCGCCCGCGATGGTACAATGGACATAGTTCAACGCTGACGACACATTGGACGCAACGTGCTGGCCGTATTTTCTTGTAACAAGTTGAAATGTATTTGTTCATTGTACGGTCCGTTTCTTCACTGCAATGCTGTCGAAATGACCAACCCACCCTTATTACATTTGCGCTTGATTTCGTGACCCGCACGAGTCCGTTCTGGGTGTAGCGTGCTGCCACTGTCCGTGGGGTGCCGCCCCATGTCCGTTCCCCCACGCCATGTCCGTTCCGTCCCGCCCCATGTCCGTCCCATGCCGCGTGTGCCCGCCTGTGGCCGGCGCCCGTTGACTCCGGGTGGCGTCTGCAGGCGCTGCAAGGCTTCCACCTGGACCAGGAGCAGTACACGGCGCTGCTGCGGCTGCAGCTGCAGCACCCCAAGTTCAGCTATCGCCAGGTGGCCTGCCACTGGCTGCGGGCCCATCGGGACGTCTGGGAGCACCGCTGGAAGCCGGTCGGCCGTCCCAAGATCTGGATCGGGGGCATCTTCCCCATAGGCGGGCCCAACTACAAGGCCAAGGGCGTGATACCAGGTGGGCGCGCACGCACCTCTAAAGCGACTGCTGGAGACGGCAGGGCCGCGGTGTGGCTGTTTGCTGGCAAGCTCCGACACTTACCCCGGTGATATGTGTCGCTACAGTGGGTATAACACGTGCAGTGGAGGTGAAACACACCGTGCTAGTCTAAGGATATCTGGGCATTGCTACCCGGTCACATCTGGCTCCCCAGGAGGAACATTCGGCGCCCAGGAGCGAGTTAATATTGGCCTTGATGCGTGACACCTGACGGGAAAACTCGAACAGGCTTGCAGCGCGTGGTTGACAGTCTTGCGGTGGCCTTGTGAGTGCCCGCGCACAGTGCCCCCCCCCCCCCCCCCCCCCCCCGGCCGTCCCGACTGCTGGCGCTCGTCACGCTCTCCTCTACCTCTGACGGGCTTCCCTATGCCTCTGACCGGCTCCCCTCTGCCTCTCGCCGGCTCCCGTCTGCCTCTGACCGCCTCTCCTCTGCCCCTGACCGGCTCCCCTAAGCCTCTGACGGGCTCTTCTCTGCCTCTGACCGGCTCCCGTCTGCCTCTGACCGCCTCTCCTCTGCCTCTGACCGGCTCCCCTCTGCCCCTGAACCCCTCCCCTCTGCCTCTGACGGTCTCTCCTCTGTCTCTGACCGGTCTCCTGCTCCGACCGGCTCTCCTCTGCCTTTGACAGGCTCTCCTCTGACTTTGACGGGCTCCCCTCCGCCTCTGACCGGCTCCCCTCTACCTCTCACCGGCTTCCCTCTGCCTCTCACCGCCTCTCCTCTGCCCCTGACCGGCTCCCCTCTGCCCTTGAACAGCTCCCCTCTGCCTCTGGCGGGCTCTTCTCTGCCTCTGACCGGCTCTCCTCTGCCTCTGACGTGCTCCCTTCTGCCTCTGACCGGCTCCCTTCTGCCTCTCACCGGCTCCCCTCTGGCTCTGACCGGCTCCCGTTTGCCTCTGATCGCATCTCCTCTGCCTCTGACCGCCCCTCCTCTGCCTCTGACGGGCTCTCCTCCGCCTCTGACCGCCTCTCCTCTGCCTCTGATCGGCAGCCGTGTTGATGGCCGTCAAAGCGGTAAACGCCAACTCCAGCGTGCTGCGGGACTACGACCTGACGCTGAACGCCCACGACGGCCAGTGCAGCGCCGACATGGTCATGAAGACCTTCATCGACTACGTCCGCATGCCGACCCACCGGCACATGGCTGGCATACTAGGTGGGCGAACCGGACGCGGGTGGACCGTCGACGGACGGCGACGCCACGGTCAGGCTGGAGCAGTCAGCCGTGCCGTGGCGTTCCTGTAGCTGGAATAGTGCACCTCATCAAAGCCACCCCTCTTGCCAGGCCACATATTCATATGTGTTACACGCGCCTGCTTCGATACGTTCCGAATGAGATCATGGGTTATGCACGGTCCACACCGTTGTGTGTTTAGGTGTGCGGTGCGTTTTTGGCTCTTTGAATTACCATCCAAAGTAGAGGCAGGCAAGTGAACGTAAGTGAACTTGGTGCGACAACTGGGCAAGCACGTCACCACTTTTGCTGCTGCCGGAACTCAAAGCAGCAGCGGGCAGTAAACATGCGCTGTGACTCTGGGACGCGCGGCTGCCGAAGAGGTGGCTCCGGCGCTGCTGCGTCCCCGTGCCGGTACCGCGTACGCGCCTCAGTATGGCCCACGGCAACCTGAGCAGATTCGTGTTCCACGTTCTACAGCGCGCGCGCGGCAGGTGGGACGGGTTGGCCATGTCGCTTCCGAATGCGAGGAGCACAGCTCCGGTGAGGTCTTCCCCTGGGTCAGCGGGCATTGATCTGGCAGGCGAGCACGGGCCCGGGTAGTGGGGCCCAAGGAATGCGAGTACCTTCCGGTAATGTAATGGAATGCATCTGACTGCCGTAGTTCGTGCAGTCTCGTGTAGGTCCTCCGTGGAACGAGCGGTCGGGTTCATTTGTTCCTGTCAGCTCAACAGCGTGCTCCCGTTGGATAGAAGCATTGCTCACACTAGAGCTGAGGATTGATATGCTGCCATCATGAAATAATGGGTTGCCATTCTGCATCTCATAGAGGATATAAGGCAGTGAATTTGGAAGTGTATCTCAACCTTCACGCTTTGATGTGATGACTTGTGGGCTGGTAACGTTCGATACCTGAATTCTCAAAGTACTTTCCTCGTTCATGAAAACCCCTCAAAATGTCGCGGATGTGCCGCGCTGCTGTTCCAATCAGGCCGACCTCTGTAAGGTCCCGTGCCTCCGCCGGAGAAGGACTGATGAGCCCTGCCGTCCCGGCAGCGGCGCTCGCTGCCGCTGACGCGCTGCCGCCGCCGGCATGGGCCGGCCTGGCTCGGACACGGTGGAGCCCATAGCGGGTGTGTCCCGAACACTACCGGGTGGTGGTGATCTCGTACAGCGCCGAGGGCGTGCTGTTCTCCAACCGCAGCCAGTACCCGTACTTCTTCAGAACCATCGGCGAAAACAAACAGTTCAGGTGGGTGATCGGCTACGTGTCTCTCGTGCTGTGTCACCTGCTCGACAGGAGGTCCCACCCGGCTGCTGTGTCTGGAGCTGCTGGGAGAGATGGGCGGGAGGTCTCACCCAGCCTGCTGTGTCTGGAACTGCTGGGTGTGATGGGCAGGAGGTCCCACCCGGCTGCTGTGTCTGGAGCTGCTGGGAGAGATGGGCAGGAGGTCCCACCCGGCTGCTGTGTCTGGAGCTGCTGGGAGAGATGGGCAGGAGGTTCCACCCGGCTGCTGTGTCTGGCGCTGCTGGGAGGGATGGGCAGGAGGTCCCACCGTGCTTCCGCCCGGAACGGTGAGAGGGATAGGCAGGTGATTCCAACTGGCTGCTGTCTGGAGCTGCCGGCAATATAAGGTAAAGGTTGGGGTCCTCTGAGGTGCAGTTGTTGCTTTCCCTGCCGAATTGGCCTTTGATTATCAGGGGAGGAAACTGACAGTCATTGTATCCCCGAGGACAACTAAACAAAAATTACTTTTTTGGTAACGGTCTCTTCTCTCCCCCCCCCCCCCCGCCCCCCCCCCCCCCCCCCCCCCCCCCCCCCCCCCCCCCCCACCCTCTCTCTCTCCTCCTCTCTCTCTCTCTCTCTACTCTGCTCTCTCTCTCTCTCTCTCTCCTCTCTCTCTCTCTCTCTCTCCTCTCTCTCTCCTCTCTCTCTCCTCTTCTCTCTCCTCTCTCTCTCTCTCGCTCTCTCTTTCCTCTCTCTCTCCTCTCTCTCTTCTCTCTCTCTCTCTCTCTCTCTCCTCTCTCTCTCTCCCCTCCCTCCCTCTCTTCCCTCTCTCTCTCTCTTCCAATCGTTGACCTTAACCCGGGCAGCGAATTTTTTAAAAAAAATACGTTCCGAAGCTCTTGACTCATCTTAACTATTGTCCGCCCTGCCAACGCTGCACTGGCCTGCAAGATGCTTCCTGCTGTATGTCTGGCTAACCAAACGTCGTTCCTGTAAATCAATGCGTAAATGCTGGGGAATGCTTCGATCCATTGCAGCCGCGCTTTTCACTCCCGAATCTGGGTCAGAGCACGAGGACTAGTAATATACACTCCGGTGCATACGTGCGCCATTAAGCGTTTTTCGCGGCGACACCCACGCCGCCTGATGGACGCTGAGAGGTCGCGTACTGGGGATACATTTTCGGGAATGAGAGCCGCGTGCCGGACAGCGCGCCGGCGGCTGCAATCAGAGCCCGCGCGCACCGGCGTGTGCCGCATACCAATGCCGGTCCAGGAGGGGATCCGAGCCGGAACCGAGTCGCCACCCTCGCGCGGCGGCGCTGTTGTGTGTCCGGTGGTGTCTCCAGCTGCCGTTCAGGGACGTCACTGGCCACCGTCCGGCGTTCATTGCTGCCAGGGGCGTTGAGCGGTCCCGGGAAGCCAGGCGCGGCGTCACAACACAGCTCATGTATTTAGCTGATGTATTAGAGTTACATCTCGCTGCCCGATAATTTTAGAAGGAAGACCCCAGTTGCATTCCGGTTTAACGGTGGACGATAGTCGTTGTTCGCATCAGCCCAGTAAGCGATGACTGGTTTCCAGATTTGTCTACAAGCAGCTGCTCCATCAGCTCCAGTGGAAGCGGGTGGCGTCGCTGACCGAGGCGGGTCAGAAGTACACCGAGTACATCTCCATCATGCACGACATGCTGCAGGGGTCGGGCGTCACCTTCATCGCCAACAGAAAGATTCCTCGGGACAAGGAGAACATGGAGCCGGTGAGAGGCCTCGCGCTGCGCGACTCCGTGCGCCGTTGGCCCCGGCCCCAGCCACGACGCCGCTCTGGCAGGCCAGGCTTGACTGAAAGCGCGGCAGATTGGCACGCCAGCACGCCGCGCCGAATTATGCAAAACGGGCAGGCACTGCACAGGACGAGGTGTGATGTTTTGTCAGCAATGCCCGTAGCACTGCGCGGGCTGCATCGATCGCGCAGTCCCGCCTCGTGCCGGTGGCATTTGGGGGCGCTCGTGGGAGTTCTGTGCTTAGCGCTGCGCCTGTGCATCGCGTCCAGGTCCGTATTTATAGCGTAAGCGCCGATCCAGACCCCAACGACGCAGTGGGATAAGCCGGTGCCGTCCGCCCCACTGTCGCGGCCGCTGCCCACATGGTCCAGCGGCCCGGAGGCCACTGCTGACCTCTGCCGGCCTTCTGCGGCCCGCGGCAGGCCTGCTACGCTTGCTCAGGTGTCGGCTGGGGCTGAGGGGTGATTAATTGTGTTTTTTGGTGTCTGTTCATGATGATGGTCTCTACTCTGCCAGCTTATTTGGAACTGGCTTTTTTCATTTCCCGTTTTTCCAGGAGCATGTATCTGCGTGTAGACCTGGTCAGAAACAATGCTCTCCCGAAAATTACAGAACACTAGAATACATACAATTTTTTCCATTCATGTTGTTAACGTTCCAATAATCGTGTTAGTAAACCACTATCATGATTATGCGTGCACGTCTGTGGACATTTATCTTTGTGACCGAGAACAGTGTCTGTGCTGACCGTGGACGAACTGTCGGCGACGCCGCCGTCGATGCCGCGAGCGCCGACTCTCGGGGGCCGCCGGCGAGCGCCGGGCGGGCTCGGTCGGCCGCCGGCGGGCGCCGAGCGGGCTCGGTCAGCCGCCGCCGAGCGCCGGGCGGGCTCGGTCGGCCGCCGCCGAGCGCCGGGCGAGCTCGGTCGGCCGCCGCTGAGCGCCGCTGCTGGGGACGATTGGCTGCTCCGGTCTGGCTTCCTGGCGGCCGCCGGTAGCCGGGCGGATCGCCTGCCTCGCCGACCCACCGAGCGCGCACGCCCGCATGCGGCTACACTGACGGCGGCGGGACGGGGGAGACGTCACAGACAGGAGGCGCACGGCACGCAAGTGAAAGCCGCCAGCTGACCAATGGTCCCTGGCCTATACCCGGGTCACTGGACCGTCCTTGCCGGGCGCTGCGTCCCGCGCCCGCCAGGCCAGGCCCTGCTGTTGGCTGTGCTGTCCTGCAGCTGACGACATGCTGTGTTCCAGTACCTGACGGATCTGCGAGAGAAGAACGCGAGGATCATCATCGCTGACCTGTACGAAATCGTCGCCCGAGCCGTCATATGCGAGGCCTATCGCAAGAACATGACTGCCAGACAGGTGGGCCGCTTCAGGGTTACGTGCGTTCCCTTGCCTTGAGCCGTTTCATGATTACTTGTAGTTCTCTGATGCCCTGAGCCGTTTTGGGGGCTATGTGCGGTTCCCTGGTGTTTTGGGCCGTTCAGGGTTGCGTGTGGGTCCCTGATGTCTTGGGCCGTTTCAGAGCTACGTATGCGTTCCTGACGCCTGGGGCCATTTCAGGGCTACGTATGGTTCCTGCCGGCGTGGTTTTCACCTGACTGGTACAACCAAACCAATGGCAAGAACTTCACGTGTAAACCTGATGAAATGATGCAGGTAAGTGGGCATTGTATTTCCTTTGTGCGTTGACAGCAGCGAATCTAAGAATAGATTGCGCCGCTGCGTCCTTGAACGCAGACGAAATTGTGCAAAAATTGAATAAGATGAAGTTAAAAGAAGAATAGGTTTGAATCAGCACTTCACGAGTCCCCAACGACGCACGTGCTGCCTATTTCACATTTGTTCGTCAACTTCCGCTGCCATGACGGACATAGCCCCTGGACAGCGTGGGACACGAGCAGCAATGTTCCCGGAACGTTAACACGTTCCCAGGTGACCGGTTGGTCACCTACCCTTCGCTCGGGGGGAGGGGTCAGTTTGACCCCCTGAGACCTCAGAAAGTGAACGAGCTAGAGACACCGAATTCACGGGGTGTGTTAACCCGTACGTGAACTCACTTAGGTCCGTGTTTGAGGCTTGTAGGTCATGACTTTCGGTTCGAACAAGGACAAACAAGGTCAAATTGTAGGCTGATTTTCAAGGTACCCCTAGAACCTAGATAATTGATCTAAGCGAAAGGTAGCATGCTCATATAAGGTCAGTGTTTGACCCTTTGAAGGCCATGGTGACCAAAATCGTACAAGACTATTCTGAGGTTTTGCCTTGGGGCTTGCATTTGAATGAGCAACAAAAATTACGTTAGGCAGTATGCTCTTAAAAGCAAAATATTGACCTGGGTTATTTGAGGCCACTGACCTATTTTGATGTTTAAGAAGTCTGTGGAAGATAATGCGGTTCCTGTTATCAGTGCATTCGAAATAAACACCGGAAACCTCCTCATACAGTAAGCCCTAAATAAATAAAACAGATTGGTGCTGATCATGGTCTGATCTTCATAGCCACCCTAGATCAATACAATTTGTTCATTCGATTGTTGCGTTGTCTAAGAAAGTATAAAAAAATGTATGGCTTCGTCTAGCACACTCTTCTCGCATCAGATTAAACGATTTCCTAGAAATTGACTTCCCTGAAACTATGGCCTGACTTTGACCCGCCACGGGTCAGCGACCTCACAAGGTACCTCGAAATTTTTGATACCACATGATCCGCTATTAAATTGTCTGCAGCTATGCAAAATTTAGCACGGCTGCGCCGTGCCGTTTGGAAACCATTCTGGAAAAGTCATCGGAGGCGTCAATTTGACCCCCACTCAAGCGCGTGTTAAGAGAAAAGGACGAACAGAAAGGCGAAGCGTAAATGGCAATAATATTCCGTAGCTTTCTACGCATTTAAAAAGGGCCTTGTGGTTGAGCTCAGTCCCTTATGAACCCCACGCATTCTGGTCGGACTAGCGAGCTGCTCACCCCCGTTAGACGAGCGTACTGCTCGCCCTCGTCGGACGAGCGAGCCGTTCACCCTCGTTAGGCGAGCGTACTGCTCGCCCTCGTCGGACGAGCGAGCCGTTCACCCTCGTTAGACGAGCGTATTGCTCGCCCTCGTCGAACGAGTGAGCCGTTCACCCTCGTTAGGCGAGCGTTCCGCTCAGCGTCGTCGGACGAGCAGCCTCACAGGTACCCCTCTCATTCCTCGAAGGATGCGCTTATTAGAACCAAGTGAGGACATCAAATAGCCTGCGTGAAGCTGCATCATGTGGCTATGATTGATTTCTTTCTTCAGGGCTGTTATGCTGTTACACAGAAGAAAGTTGCGCTTGATTTAAGCAAGTTGCAAAAGCTGCGTAGACGATTCAGCCCTCGGCGCACTGAATATCCCAAATCTTGGATCACCGGTAACAGCGGCGACCGGTGTGACATGCGACATGTGAAATCGGGTCACACAACACGTAAAATTGGGCCATGCAGTGTGTGAAATCAGGTCGTACGGCGTGTTAGATCGGGTCATACGGCGCACAGCACCCACGCTATTTCTGGAATTACGGATTTTGCGAAAAGAAAACAGCCTTAGCAACCCATCAACCTTATGACGCTTGTTAAGCTGCATTATTTTTGTGACGGTCATCGTGATATCTTTAATGGGCCGTGAGATAGGCCATGCGAGTTTTCGAAAGATAAAACAGGCTTCCTATTACACAAATATTTACTTTCACGCGCACATGAACTAGCCTGCCACGGATTGACCTAGCAAACTACACTCGTAGAACTGCACCATGACGTTTTACGATAAGATATAGCGAATGTTAGTGGAAAAGTCAGTTAGTGGGGATTCCACTGCAGACGTACGGGCGCTTGAACATAATGTGGTGTGGCTTGTTGTGCAATGTGTTGGGGACCGATGTAGGGGACGGGGAGAATAAAATACTGCGTTTTGGGTTGCGTGGTGGGCTGACCCCGAGAGAGGCGACACACCGAAGCTGCTGTCCTTGTGTGGCGCAGAGGAGCCGGAGGGAGGCTGCAGTCCGTGTGTGGCGCGGAGGAGCGGAGGGAGGCTGCTGTCCTTGTGTGGCGCGGAGGAGCCGGAGGGAGGCTGCTATTCGTGTGTGGTGCGGAGGAGCCGGAAGGAGACTGTAGTCTGTGTGTGGCGCGGAGGAGCCAGAGGAGGCTGCAGTCTGTGTGTGGAGAGAGGTCACAGTCCGTGTGTGGCGCAGAGGAGCTGGAGGGAGACTGTAGTCGGTGTGTGGCGCGGAGGAGCTGGAGGGAGACTGTAGTCGGTGTGTGGCGCGGAGGAGCCGGAAGGAGACTGTAGTCTGTGTGTGGCGCGGAGGAGCCAGAGGAGGCTGCAGTCTGTGTGTGGAGAGAGGCTGCAGTCCGTGTGTGGCGCGGAGGAGCTGGAGTGAGGCTGCAGTAGCGCGGAGAAGGTAGAGGGAGGCTGCGGTCTGCGTGTGGCGCGGGGGAGCAGGAGAGAAGTGACCGGTGACTCACGGCTCTCGGCAGGCGCTTGATGGACACCTGGCTCTCTCTCACGCCTACTTCGCCAACGACTCGGACATCATGCAAGAGGGCATCACGGTTGGCCAGTGGCGGCAGCAGTACCGCCGTCTCTGTGCCGAGGTGAGTTTGCGGCAGCAGTATCGCCGTCTCTGTGTTAAAGTGAGCTTGCTGCGGTAGTACCGCAGTCTCTGCGCCGAGATGAATTTGTGGCAGCAGTACCGCCGTCTCTGTGTGGAGGTGAGTTTGCGGCAACAGTGCCGTCGTCTCTGTGTTAAAGTGAGCTTGCGGCGGTAGTACCGCTGTCTCTGCGCCGAGATGAATTTGTGGCAGCAGTACCGCCGTCTCTGTGCCGAGGCGAGTTTGCGGCAACAGTGCCGTCGTCTCTGCGTAGAGGTGAGTTTGCGGCAGCAGTACCGTCGTCTCTGTGTGGATGTGATTTTGCGGCAGCAGTACCGCCGTCTCTGTGCCGAGGTGAGTTTGCGGCAACAGTGCCGTCGTCTCTGCGTGGAGGTGAGTTTGCAGCAGCAGTACCGCCGTCTCTGTGTGGAGGTGAGTTTGCGGCAGCAGTACCGCCGTCTCTGTGTGGAGGTGAGTTTACGGCAGCAGCACCAACGTCCCTGTGTGGAGGTGTGTGTTTGCGGCAACAGTACCGCCGTCTCTGTGTCAAGTGAGCTTGCGGCAGTAGTACCATGAACTGTCTCTGCGCCGACGATGAATTTGTAGCGCAGCAGTACCGTCGTCTCTGTGTGGAGGTGAGTTTGCGGCAGCAGGTATCACCGTCCCTGTGTGGAGGTGTGTGTTTGCGGCACAGTACCGTCGTCTCTGCGCCGAGCTGAGTTTGCGGCAGCAGTACCGTCGTCTCTGCGTCAAGACGAGCTTACGGGTGGGCGTGTGAATCGATACTGCGTGCAGCGACCCGGCCTGATGCACTTGGTCTAGCACACAGCCGTGCATTATAGTATAACGTTGTCATGGCATGTTTATGCTCTGTTCGAGATGATAAATCCCCTTTGCGCTCATTTGTGAAGCAATTTGTTGTCGAAATCTTGCTATAATCGGCAATGCACGTACTCAGCCTGTACTAATGCACACACTGTTTACGCCCCTAGTCATTGCCGTGTCGTGAAAGTAGCTGGTCGATCACGCATGTTTACATATCCTGTGGTTTGGATGACAGCTGTCCAGCCATTCTGATCATCGTCATTTTGTGATGCCCAGTCGTCCAGCGCTGTTGGAGGATGTACTCCAGCACGTTCTCCCATCGGCAGTTCCCGGTGGACGAGTCAGACTACGCCGGCTACGCTTACGACGCGGTCTGGACGTATGCCTTTGCGCTGGACAAGCTGTTGAGGGAGAAGCCGTCCCGGTTTCAGGACTTCCACACGGTACCCACCACCGCGTGAGTGTCACTCCGGTCTCTGTGCTGGGCGACTCGAGCACGCTCGTGGCGGTCGTGCCTGCTCGTGGCGGCCGCGCCTGCTCGTGGCGGCCGTGCCTGCTCGTGGCGGTCGTGCCTGCTCGTGGGGGTCGTGCCTGCTCGTGGTGGTCGTGCCTGCTCGTGGCGGTCGTGCCTGCTCGTGGCGGTCGTGCCTGCTCGTGGCGGCCGTGCCTGCTCGTGGCGGCCGTGCCTGCCCGTGGCGGCCGTGCCTGCTCGTGGTGGTCGTGCCTGCTCGCCGACCGGTCGACCGGTGCCGCTCTTACCCTGTGTGGAGCTCTGCTCCACTGGACGGCCGCCCTGTGACAGGTGAGCCGGACAGCGAACCGCACCCGTGACAAATCAGATGATCAAGTGAACTCAGAAGGATATGGACTGAATCATTCGCGAGGCGATATCATCAACGTGACTATCAGCAATCAAAACAAGTGCGAGGCAAACCCCGCAGGAGCCCCGTCAGAGGCCAGAATGTGAAACTACGCTCATCGCTTTTAGATGCCATCCTAAAATCGATCGAGACCATCACAGATCGAGACAGAAAAACTCTCATTAGAGCAAAATGACAACGAAATCCGATGAGTTTCAAAAAATGCTGCGTTTTATGGACTCGGATGTTCTGATTCGGCGTTGCTGATGCTACAGGCAGGGTAAAGTTTCTCCGCATTGTCAGTCGGCTCTTTCTCTTGGCGAGCCGGTCATTTCCGCCTTCGCTACGGGAGAGGATGGTAGGGTCCTTCTGGGGTTTCGGTCATAGTTTGGATGGTGGTAACTTGAATACCAGTGCCAAAGTGCCTATGATGTCGCGTTCTTGCATAGAGTTGAAGTGTGCAACACTGGTGCTCATCAATCAAGCCCAGCATGCCACAATCGCGCTGAATATCTCTGTCACACAGACCACAGTTGACGTCATACGGGCACACAGTTGACGTCATAACGGACACACAGGTGATGCCATACGGACTAAAGCGAACGTCATAACCGACCACAGACGATGTCGCACCGGTGGCAGGCAACATCACATGGACACCAGATGATATGATACGACCACAGATAACGTCAAACGGACCGCAGACAAGCCATCCGCGCCCCATGTTATCAGCATCACGGCATGTCGTTATTTGCTGAACGACAGGGCGTAATCAAAGAGGCGATTTCTTCCGCGTGATTCTTGCCT